GACATACTTGGAGCTGTAGAGCAATGAGATCTAAAATTCTCATTGATGTATTGAGTTTACCAGAATGCAAAGCTGTGAGTACATGCCACATCAAAATAAATAATATAACACAGTAAAAGTAATGGCCACTACAGATCATCACAACAGCAGTCTCTGTACCCACAAAACTTTCCAGCTCCATCCTGGTATTGTTTGGAATGGTACTTGGGCAGCTTCTGGGAGTTGGAACAGCCAAATTGTCCTGGCTCCAGTGCAGATATCACTGAGAGGCTGCGTGTTTACTGTTTTCTAGGTTGACGAGGCTATAATTTAACAATATAAAATTCAAGAGCGATCCTCAATTTGAATTCTGTTCAATAGCCTCTTCTTGATTAAGCCATAATTGTGCAAATCACCTGCTCCATGATTCCACCTGGCTTTCTTATATTAAGAAAATCATAATTAAACCAAGCACACACAAATTGGACTCATACTTAATTCTTCTATAAAATGGATTGTGTTTTCAGACTGAGGAGATGGCTTAGTCTGTAAGGTATTTACTGTAAGAGCATGAGAACTCAAGTTCCATCTATCCCAGAACCCTCATAAAAATGTCAGCCTGACAATAGGTGCCTGTAATCCCAGTGCTGGAGAGACAGAGATAGACAGATCCCTGGAACTTGTTGGCCAACTGGTCTAGCTGAATCCATATACTTCAGTTATAGTAAGACATCCCTTCTGAAGAAATAAGGTGGAGTGTGATTGAGGAAGACACCTAACTTCGGTCTCTGACCTCCCCTCTCCCGCATACATGTATGCATGTGCACATAAATACACACACATGGATTACGTTTTCTTCTCTCCTTAAGCTATTTCTTTCTAAAGAGAATACTCATGTTCCACTTAGGACATTTTATGGAGGCGAGACAATATTTTTTACTCATTAGCAAAAGTTATTCTGTAATATTTGGGAATCAGACACAAAACTTCCAAAAAAAATTCGTGAAGAAATAGCTGTGGGCTAATGTCTTCCTTATCGCAATCTTCCTTCCTTTTCCTCCCCTCCTTTCTTCTCCTTTCCTGGCTTTTTCCTTCCCTATCTCCAACCCCACACACAGTCGAACACGCCATACACACCCCTTCCCCAAACTCAGGCTGCCTCGTTCTTCTGTCTTTGATGCTTGTCCCAGCAGCCACAAGCTACTTGCTCACTATCTTCAAGTTTTGCTCAGAGATTAATTTTGGTTGAGCTCTGTCCTGCCTGGTATCATTAAATTGGCAAGATTCTTAACCATACACTTGTTCTTTCTACCTGCTGTGTTTTTTTGTATTTCTCATGCCTTTTGAATAGAAAATCATTTAATCATTATCCGTGTGTGTGTGTGTGTGTATGTGTGTGTGTGTGTGTGTGTGTAGGTCAGAAGATACCCTCAGGTGTCATTCCTTGGTGCTGTCCACCTTGGTTTTTGAGGAAGGGTCTCTTACTAGAATGCAGCTCATGAAGTAGGCTAGGCTAGCTGGCCGTTGAGCAATAGGATTATGAGGGAGCCCCACCACATCTGACTTTTTCTTTTTTGTGTAGCTTTTTTTATGACTTTTTAAATGGACTTTTACAAATTTCATAAAATACATTTTGGTCATATTTAGACCCTTCCCCTATCTGCACCTCCTCATAGCCCCCCGCCCCAACCTGTTTTCATGCATCCTGTCACGTAAGTTAAGGCCTAGTTCCCATCCCCAAATGTCCCTTGGTGTGAGTCCATCCACTGGAGCCTTGTCAACTAATTTAGTATCACCCCCATTAAAGAAAATCAGCTCTTCCTTTCCCAGTAGTCATGTAGGATTTGAGGTTAGAACTTAGGTCCTCAGGCTTGCAAGGAAGCACATTACTGACTGAGTCATCTCCCCAGCCTGTTATGGATCGTTCTGTGTTCCCCTGTTTAGCAACAGGAACAATGAGGGATTGCTTTGCTTGTTCGTTTTTTTTTTCTGTTGTTCAGTGATTCATCCCTAGTGATTCAGTGCTTAAAATAATATCCAAAATATTTTTAAAACCAAAGTAAATATTTGTCCAGTAACCGAATACTTTAAAATATGGTTATAAAATTATGCTTTATTCTTTTCTTAGTGAAACAGTATTCTGTCAATAGAAAAAAATCAATTTTTTCAATCATCAAACTTTGCAGCTAAAATGTAGATTATTGCCCTGACTATATTATTGAGTTTTGAATTAAGACAAATCAAATATCATATGTGGCTCTTAGCTTCCTAATATTTTGTTCTTCTCAGTACTTTATAAGAATGAAGAAAGAAAAGGCAGGTTACTAGGAGAACGAGAACTCTCCAGTATTCACACACACATACGCACACATCAAAGTAGTTTTCCTTTGTCTCCTTCTTTTCCCTTTATTTGTATGTAGTGAGTTAAAACAGGCTCATCAAGCCTCCAGGCCACTTGAGCGTGGCTTGTTTTAGGAGGAAGGTGATTCATCTGAAGTACCTAGTGGTGACTGAGATTATTTGAAATGAGAGAGATGGGTTTGCACTATGCTTAGATGTCCTTAGGAAAAAAAAAATACTGGTTAACAAGCATCTTCCTCGGAAATTCTAAGCAGAAAGTGCATAGCCAAGTGGTACACTGTTTTAGGCTGAGTATGATACTGGGTGAAGGTAGACGTTCCAAGTTGTTTTCTGTGAAGAGCATCCTGGAACAAGCATGCTTTTCATAGAGACCCTCCCAGTTCTTCCCACAGCCTGTAGACCTGGACTCCTCATTTTCTTCTCTCTGCCTGCTTCAGTGACTTCCAGGGAAAATTTAGCAATTGTTGCCACTCAGAGAGAGTGGGCCTTGTTTAATACAGATGGAGATTGTGTGCAAATAGGGATTTGACTGTGCAAAGAAAATCTTGGATAAACTTCCGTGTAATTACATCTCTAAACAAATATTCAGCAACTTCAGAGTGTCTTGCTTTCTTTGTTTTATTATGTTATATTTTGTTTTGTTTGTTTGAAACTGGGTCTCATGTAACCCAAGCTGGTCCAGAAATTTCTATGTAGCTAAGGATAGCCTTGAACATCTGATCCCTTTTTGTACATACTAAGTGCTAGGATGACAGGAGTACACTACCATGTCGACTATGCAGTGCTGGACATCCAACCCAGGGCTTTGTGCGTAGTAGTTAAGCCCTCTACAACTGAGCTACAACCACAGTTCCAACTTTCGAATTTTAAATCCTTAAAAAATAACATGAATTATTTTTTATCTTGAGTTTCTTCTATATGCCAAACAGAAAAAAGAGAGCAATTACCAAAGCAGGTCTGGCACCCTGAAGCTGATGTGTAAGACCTCCATCTCAGTCTCTGCTCTTCTTTTAGACACAGCATCATTGTTCTGAATGACAATTCTAAGCTACTGAAGTATTCACAATCATTAAAGATGATACAAGAAAGATATCACTGAGGTTAGGACTCCAAACTAGATTTTTTTTGTTCTGTCTCAGGGAAACATGACTTTCAGAATGATTCTTCTAGCACATCAGGCTAATGATCCTCACATTGCCAACTTTTCCTTTGAATTCTATGAACTTGAAATTTCATGACTTCTTCTAAAACACAACATGTTACCTTGATCCTTGTTGTGATAAATAAAAATCAGCAGGAGGTCATTCATGATCCCTCTCACATCAGTCTACCTTCTGTTTCTCCTTAGTCTCCTTTATCACCGTCTACCAAAATCTGAGGGTACATTTGACTAAATTTTGTCCTGGCAGTGTTATTTTTGTCTCTGGTAGTTTCAAAAGGAAACTATTTCTCTCTCTCTCTCTCTCTCTCTCTCTCTCTCTCTCTCTCTCTCTCTCTCTGCTTAAAAGCCTGTCCAAAATTTAGAAAGAAAACAAAGAGGGGTGTATTAGATGATGAGGAAGGAGGGCATGCAGGCAAAAGGATGCATGAAAAAGGAGATAAAATTAATATTTTTCTAGTTTCAACCTAGTTTTTTTTTTTTTCTTTTTCATGGTGGATATATTAATCCAACTTTCTGGGTATGGAAGCAGCAAGGACTTTTTGCATTCCAAAAATATTCAATTTATGATATTCCTTGAATAGCAGTGATTGTGAACATTAGTCTTTCTTTTTATCTCCATTGATCGTTAGTACAATAGGAATTAGACTTGGTTAGTCACTAAATACATTGCTTACATTTATCTACCTAGAAAAGGTGATTTTTAAAAATGTTTTTGTAAAAGGAGTTTTGAAATCTGAAATTTTTCTCTTTTTTGTGCTTAAAACTATATCAAATCACTCTACTGTTTTATTACTTTGTATCTAAACTTCACTGCCTTCCATAAAATAAGATATAGTTTAAAACAATTTTTTTTTTTTGTCTTTTTGAGACAAGGTGTCCCTGTAGCCCCAGCTGGCCTGGAACTCACTTTGTAGACCAGACTGGCCTTGAACTCACAGAGATCTCTGCCTCTGCCTCCCGAGTGCTGGGATTAAAGATGTGCACCACCACACCTGGCATAAAACAAAATTTTAAAGGTGGTCCTACTTAGTCAGTTGTGCTGCCATCTAATCTAGTAAAAATTTGAGTTTATGTTCCTGCCTCTGAATATTGTCATTCATCACTGTTCATCCACCTAAATTGTTTTGATGAAAATATCCTTGGACATGCATATCTGTATGAGTACATAAGTATGTATGTTAAAACATGTAGAGAAAATGAGAGATGGAAAAGAAAATTAAGGTCAGAAAGCAAGTAAAAGAAAAGAAAGAAAGAGAGAGAGAGAAAGAAGGAAGAAAGGAAAGAAGGAAGGAAGGAAGGAAAGGAAGGAAGGAAGGAAGAAAGAAAGAGGGAGGAGAGAATATCTGCACATCTCCATATATGCAAATATGTATATGCAAGCACACATCATAAATATGTATATATAAAACAAACACACTTTTTCATGACACATTCACTCTGAGCATCTTTACACGTTTCAGCTTACCGTCCCTGAATTCTGGAACATCTTCTCTTTCAGATGGAGCCCCATTTACCTGGTGGATCGGGCGGTCCAATGAAAGGCACCCTTACTGGGGAGGCTCTCTCCCTGGGGTCCAGCAGTGTGGATGTGGTCTGGAGGAGAGCTGCCTGGACATTCGCCACTTTTGCAACTGTGATGCTGACACAGATGAATGGTAATAAGAGCTTCCATTTCCTACAATGGCAAGAAGCACAAGGTCTGCAGCACTGAATTACCCCAAAGAGAGAAGGGTACAGTTTAGACACTCATTACAAGTTGGGGAGACATTGAAAACTGGCCTGTTCTTATATTTTGAGGACTATTACTGAAGTGTAACTATTGCCTCCCTGTATTATGAGCCCTCCACTTCAAACAAAGGAATCCAGTGTAATATTGAGTTTTGTGATTTTCTTTTTCTCTTTATTCCCTCGTGTGTGTGTGTGTGTGTGTGTGTGTGTGTGTATGCAGGTGCTCTTGTGTGTATGTGAGTGTACATGCATGTGTGTGCATACATGTGTGTATGCATGCTTGTGGAGGACAGAGAACAAAATGGTATTGTTCCTAAAATGCCATCTACCTTGCTTTTTAGAGACAGGATCTTTTACTGACCTGGAATTATTGATTCTACTAGACTGGCTGGCCAGCAATCCTCAGAGACCTACCTGTCTCTGCCTCCCCAGTGCTGGAGTTACAAGCCTGTGCCACCATGTCCAGCTTATTTAGGAGGGATCTGGAGATTCATCTCAGGCCTCCAACTTGCAAGGCGAACACTTTACAGACTGAGCCATATCCCCTGACCCAGAGTCAGTCTTTCTATAATGTGTGAAACACAGATGATGGAGAAAGGCCCACAGGAGAGAAAGGAAGGTAGTTCTACAGCTGGTTTCTTTTTTTCCATTGACATTTTAATGCCTTCACCATCATTTTCTTGTGGGGTGCTTCACCAGAGAAGACCACTCAGACAAAGTTTTGGCAAATGGAAGTTGTTACTGGCCAGGGCTACTACACAGGGTGTTGGAACCCAAGTGTGTAGCACTGAGCCATCTCTAGGGTAAGCTTTTATACAGAGAAACCATGACCAGGGTGAAAAGTTTAAGTTCCCAAGCTTACAGGTGGAAAGCTCCCTTAATAATTTCTATTCTATTAAGTAATAATTACCATTTAGCCAAACATAATCTACAGAAGCCATAAATCTGCAGTTAGCAAGTGCACTCTGGAACACTCTGACCTGTTCCCAAGACAACTGGTTCCTGCTGACATGTGTCCTCATACCCTGGGCCAACTGCCTGATAATTTCAGAGACTAGAGTCAGCCTAAACTTTAACATGGTGTAGCTGTGGTCAAGAAGGTGCCCTGTTACATTGTGCCCTATTACAGTTTCATGCCCTTTACCATAAAATTAAATTTTTATTTATTGATCCTCACAATAATCTTTATATTCCATGTGATTTTCCCACCTTTGTGCCTTGAGGGTAAGAAATGTCGATTTCATAAGTGTTAACTGATTATTTTCAAGGTTACACATGCCTGTCAAGTGGAAGGTCAAGAATTTGAACTCAAGTCCATCTGAAGACAAATGTCTGGTACTCTTCTGTTCCAGCTCAATTCCGTGAGGTCAAGTCTAAGTTCTCAAGTCTATTACGTCTATATTGCCTATTTCCTCTGGACAAATTATTTGTTTTTCACAGTATAAATTCTGAAAATATGCATACAACATGTCCACACACCTTTTAGGTTTGGGTACAATTTTAGGCAGTTTTTACTTTTGGCTTATGTACCGTTGCTTGCTTCATCAAATTGTGTTCAACTGTAATTAAGAATTCCTGTGTCAAGGTGTTCTTAGACCAGTTACAGTTTTTCTTTAGTATAGTATTTTCTTTCACTGTTCAAATTGTTACTGGCAGGAACAGTTCAAATGAAAATAAGATCTAGTCAAAACCTCATTTCAGACCAGTGACCTGGGGCTGGGAAGATAGCTCAGTCAGTAAAGCTTGCTACGCAAACATGAGGACTCAGCACCCATGAAAGAAAAAAGTAAACTTAAAAGCTGAGTCGGGGGAGCCTCCAATCCCAGACCTAGAGAGCTGAAGATAGGTGGATCCCTGGGGTTTACTTGGAAAGCTCCAGGCCAGTAAGAAATCCTGTCTAAAAAAAGGAGAGGCAGGTGTCGTAGTCCATGCCTTTAAACCTATCACTCAGGAGGCAGAGGCAGGGGCAGAAGCAGAGAGACTTTGTCTAAAGAAAAAGAAAGAAAAGTAAAGAAAAAGGAACAAGGTGGATGGCATCTGAGGACTGATAACCTACAGGGTCATCTTGGTTTATGTGCACAAATATGTATACCTGTACACACACAAGCGAACACACATATGCACAAACATACACATCACTTCAAAAAAGGAAAAAGGATTTGGATCTATCTGTTTCCATAAGACATGGGCAAAATTCGACTACCACAGGGCTGCTTGAGGACAGAGGGAAACTACAAGCATTTCTTCCCAGCCCCAAACACTTAATATGGATAAAATCAGATAGAGTCGACTGAAGGCTGAATGAAATGAACCTTGTTCTTCTCAGGACCCTTCTATATTTGCAAAGAACCTTACTGAAGTATTGTAGAGACCTATAGATAAAATCTATCTTGTGTCCTGAGTGGAGACAAATTCTGTTAACCATATAGCCGTCATTCTATCTGCCTCTGCCTCTGATGCAGTAGACATTTGATGACAGTCAGGGAGACAAATTTAGGAAATCATCGGAGAGGAGTATCTTTGCTACTTTTCTTGATGCTGAGACGACATGCCTGAGAAGAACAACTTGAGGAAGGAAGAGAGTATTTGGACTCACAGTTTAAACATACAGTCTGTCATAAGAGGGAAGGCATGCTGACAGAAAGCTGTTGAGCTTGTGTCTGCAGTCAGGAAGTACAGAGAGATGAATGCTGACGCTCAGCTTGCTTTCTCCTTCATATTCAACTGGGCTCCCGTGGAATCATGCCACACGCACTTAGGGCAGGTCTGATAAACTCAGTTAATCCAGTGTAGAAATTCTGCTACAAACATACCCAGAGGTTTGTTTTCATGGTGACTTTAGATTCCATTAACTTGACAATCAAGATTAAATATCACCAGCTGGTATTGTCACTAAGTGACATCTTCAAGCTTGGAAGGGAATTGTGAAGGTTTTTAAGTAGTTGGGTAACCACAAAAACATATTAACACCCTCTGCTCCCAGGAGCCTATATTCACTTGCTTCTTTGATTCATAAGGTTACTTTTGCTGTGCATGACATTATACATTATTTGTAGATTTATGGACTCAAAACAGAAGCACATACACTTGTTTCTGTACAATTAAGAATCAAATGGAAGGGGGAAATTGTTATTGAGAGGGAAATATTTCCTCTTTCATACCTTATTTACCTACTGAACACTGCCACAGGGTGCAATTGTCAGGTACTGAACACTTCTCATGGTACAACTCAGGGTACCGAACACTTCTCATGGTACAATTGTCAGGGAACTGAAAACTTCTCAAGTTACATCTGTCAACATACTGAACACACCGTAGGTTACAGTTTCAGGTACTGAACATGTCTCAGGATGTGATATCACGTAATGAACACTTCTCAGGGTACAATTGTTAGATACCCAGTACTTCTCAGGGTAGAGTTATTAGGACTGTAGTTTGCAGTCGAAGGAAGAGGGGATAATGGCTGCAGCCCACTTAACTGTGTTGAAGTGTTTTCAAATCTTCTCTAGAACATTCCACTGTTCATGTCTTCTAGTTAGATGCCAGCCTCTCCCTCCACTAAATCAATTCATTCACCTCTGAAACCCTTATGAACTGATTTAATTTCATAGCTCTGCTGTGCTCAGACATTCATCAATATCTTTTCCTCTACACCCTGTGCCAGCACATTTGTGCCAGCCTGTGTGTGTGTGTGTGTGTGTGTATGTGTGTGTGTGTGTGTGTATGTAGTCAGCCACAGTGTTTTTTGAGACAGTCTTTAACTGGCCTGAAGCTCACTGATTCAACGAGGCTGGCTGGCCAGCAATCCTTAGGGATCCATCTGTCTCTACTTTTCCAACACTAGGATTATAACCATGTGCCACCAAGCCTAGTTTTTTTTTTTTTAACCTTAGTTCTGGGGATCAAACTCATGTGCAGCCTACTCTTAATAAGGCATCTCCTTGTCTCACAGAATATCTTTTATTAACACATAGGTTATTCTTTAGGGCCAGGTTAAAAATTGCCCACTTTGTCCCACTTTCTGGAGCAAATATCTTCTCTTAAGTTATTAGAATTTAGTATTAGATACAGGTCTTATTCAACAGTCAATAAGAGTCAAGGGGGAAGAATTGAACACTACCTTTTATTTGCCTACTTTACTCACAAGCATCTGTGTTGAACTTGTCAGTGCAAAGTCTAAATGAGAGAAGTTCTACGAGTTTCTCCTGTCATTAAGAAGGAGTAGAGGCTGAAATTTCAATATAATTTGTGGAGTTTCACTGGTGGTCTAAGAAGTTGTATCATATGATGAATGGTGTTGGAGAATACATTGTTACAAAGGACCATGTTGAGTAATTTTTTGGGGAGTAGATAAAAAAACAGCTCCTCACTCCTAATAGGGCACCAACAAAGAAAGTATTTCATGTAAGTGAACCAATCAATTTATTGAGTTTACTTACACAGAATGAGTGAGGAGTTAATTAGTGAACCATGTGTGACCCCCAAATACTGCATCACTGTAAAGTCATATACCATTATGAACAACAACCTCATGGATGTTCGTCATGGTGTCCCCATTTCAGTTAATCTCCCACTTGTAATATGCACTAGCATCGGTCAAGATCATTTACAGTTGGAGGAGGGCAGGAAGAGGAATGCCTGGAATCCAGGTGAGGCTCCTGTGGCCCTCCTGGCCCATTATACTAGACAGCATCTGCAGCTCCTTTGCAGTTATATAGACATGTCTTCCTCTGTGTTGTTCTGCTTGACTCATGGCCAAGTCTACAGAGCCAAGATACTCTATATTCCCCCATGTTATGCTCAGAGGAAGGAATCATGCTATCACATGCCTACCTGTTTTTACTTCATGCGGTAGCATTCATTTATAGCTTATTTACTGAGTACCACTCTGTGTCAGCAAAGAAGAACTGGCCCTAGCCCTTATATT